TCAACTGCCAACAGTCGTCCAAAATCTGTGACATCTAGATCTCCAGATTGTAGTAGATTTCGAGCAGAGTCCTTTCTCCTTCTGTGTTTGTGAAAGATTTAGCTTCTTTTTTTTGTTGAGATCCCTTATGTTTCAATGACTAGTGGATTTTATAACAACGCAAGTGAGCGGCTGTTGAGCATACTTCAACGGTCACTTATTGCATAGAAGCATGTGATACAAATTCGCAGCATGTGGTGGATTAATGCATTTAATGCTTGGTAGCTGACTGCCACCCCCCCACACCCCCTCCACCCCCTGTCCACATGTTACTGCATCATGAGGAGATTACAGTCGGGGACAAGCCATGCCAAGCAGGAACCTACCATCACTCTCAAAATATGGGGGCAGTGTTCCATGTGAAAAACACGGCTCGACGCCAAGCATTTCTCATGAAATATCATCCCCTTTTGAGTACAAAGTTATTTCCAGGGGAGTAAAAAAAAAAAAAAAAAGACTTCCACTTTCTCCACCGGACTAAGCAAGCAGAGATATTTTCATCTGATGAGGGGAGGGGAAAGAGGGGACAGCAGGTGGGCGAGTGAGGAGGTGGAGGGGGAGGTTGTGTGACTACAGATGTTGCCTGTCTAAATGTTTCGCTTTGCACAGAAATATTTTTAGCTGAGTTTGCGAGAGTGCCTGTGACATACAAGGGAAATGGAATGAGTGGCAAAGAAAGAAAGAAAAGAGGGAAAACGGGGGAACCGGTGAACAGCAGGGAATGATGGCTTTGACTTGTCTCGGGATTAGCTGTGTCCCCGTGCCATCGAAAGGTAGGGATGAAACAGAGTTTTTCAATCATTGTATTCTCACATCATTTGCGTCTGGCTCTGAGAATTGGTATGCGAATCTGGCATTGGTGGAAACCAAAAAGATTGTCATTTACTGTATGTTTTGAAATTCAATTTAGCAATTTTAGCATAGCGGTTTTACCTTTACATACCGTGCAGGTCAAATTTAACCCATTTTGGAAGCAATAAATCTACCATAAAAGTCATCCTTTCATTGTGAAATGTAACCACTATTCCGAATGTGACCGATAAAAAAAGAAAAAGTAATTCTTTTGAACGGCTTCTAAAAAGTTTGTGAACACTGAGGCTGTTGCAGGTCAAATTTGAGCCAGATTTACTCAAAGAGATTTAACCATTTCTGTTAAATCAAGAAAAATGGTTGTAGTAACGGGAATCTATATTTACCATAAATGTGTGTGGATTCTTACTGCACAGTGGGAACAGTGCTCAAGAGGGAGCCTGAAACAATCCCCGTAGTTGCTTGGGGTGGCCGGTCCACCACATTTTCACACGTTCCAGCACAAATTTATACTGTTGCTGTCGGTCTCTGAAGGCTCTTGTGAAATTTCCAAATGCTCAAAGAATTTAATTCATGTACATGGAGATCTTTTTTTTGTTTTTGTTTATGGAAGGGTGGGGATGCGGAGTTTGAAACACTGCAGGACTCCAGACTGCCCTTAAATGGCGGCATTTTGCCTAAAAAAATTTGAGAGTAAAAGAAAACTTCATTTACTCGCACATGTACGTATGGTAACATTTGCAGATTTTTGGGGGGGATAATTATTATTGTTGAATATTTTTTCCTCACAAGTGGGGTGTTGGAGCCTATCCCGGCCATCTTTGGGCAGTAGGCGGGGGACACCCTGAACCGATTGCCAGCCAATCGCAGGGCACACAGAGACGAACAACCTTTTGTGCTCACACTCACACCTAGGCGCAATTTGGAGTGTTCCATTAACCTGCCATGCATGTTTTTGGAATGTGTGAGGAAACCGGAGTACGCGGAGAAAACCCACGCGGGCACGGGGAGAACATGCAAAGTCCACACAGGGAGACCGCAGCCGGAATCGAACCATGCACCTCCGTACTGTGAGGTTGACACGCTAACCACTCGACCACTGGGCCGCCTGAATAATTTTTGTTGCTGAAAAATATCTGCTCCACAGCCCATTTGTCAGTTATACAGTGAAAACGAGTTGAAATGTGAACATTTTACTGACCATACTTCGCAAGATTTACAGTGTGTACCCCTACATTTAAGGATAGGAACCACTGTGCTCCTAAGTTAAAAAAAAAAAAAAAAAAAGGCGTTCCACCACATTTGCACAGGTTCCTGCAGAAAAATACACCTGTTGGTCTTTGAAGGGTCATCTGCAAAAATACACTTTCCCCTTTTCTCTGCATTATTGATGAAGTATTCATCATCAGTTACTGTCAGACAGGCTTGAAGTACATTTGAAAACCCACAAATGCGATTTTGGCAATTATGACGAGGGTCTTCTTGACCATACGATGCATGTATTAAAAATGAACCACATGTGAGGGTTAAAATCACCAATGATTGTACTTTATAAGCAACCTCCGGCACTGAGATACAGTATGACGCGACTGCTCTTCGGCTTTTGTTCTGCTCTACGCAACTGGTTCTTCAAGTAAACTTGTGACCACAACTGATATGTAACAGCAGTCTATGACAAGCTTTTGCACTTAGCGCTGTGGAGTGTTGCTTGACCCAGATACACACTAATACGGCCTCGCTTAATGACTTTTTTTTAACTCACCAACATCTTGACTTGTCTCACTCTCGTTTGGACTATTGATTTTCTGTTCATGGATTCTTTATTGGATGTTTTTACATCTTAGTTTTGTCTCGTGACTGTTTTTTTTTGTTGTTTGCTTGTTTTTTTTTCCTTTAATTACTGATTATTATTTATTACTCACTCTCCATTTGTCATGTGACTTTTTCTCTCCGAATGGGTTCAACAAAACTCAATACAATCTTTTATATGCCCATGACTCACAGGTCTATTTCTTGTCAGACGGAAGCACAACTTGGTGAAACACAATCCTGTTTTGCAGATGTTCAAATTTTGCATAATAAAGAGCAGAATTAAGAAATCGGGTCATATGTAACACTTTTTGCTGCCAGAGGTTTGAAAATGAGTTTTGAAAATCGACCGACAACTTACATCTATTCTGACATGAGGGAGGGTAATTGTGGGCATGTGTAACCGCGATGCAGAGTATGCTAACTCGCGCGCCAATTTAATCAGCGCAGATGGCCCCAAATGATCCTATAATGCAGTTGAGTGCGCCTTTAGACAAAATGTTACGCATGCACTGAGGTGAAGTCCATGTTGGCTGCTGTATATCTCACATCAGTCTGACTCATCTGCTGCAGCAACATTCTTTCGGGACTGAAATGGTAGAAAACTGGATGCCTTGTGAGAACAGTCAGTCAAGTTTACATGACACAGAACCAAAACATCTACTAGGCATGCATAGAAATGAGGGCTTGGACCATATGAATCTTTAGCGACAAGTGCAATTGCTTATGTGTGTGCAGTAGAGATGTTTGACTTCAACATATTTCCTTGAGACCAATTAGTACTTTCATATTAGCCAGAGCTGTGGTGTTATACTGTGGCAAATCTAGTGCACAGAAATATGTGGAGTTTACACGAATATACACATTTTTCAGTGACCATATGAATCTTTAGCGACAAGTGCAATTGCTTATTACAACTAGATGTTAATTGAATCAAAATGTGCAATACGATGTTTCACCTTCAAGAGGCGCTGGTCCTCATGCTTGCACTCAAGGAAGGTGGAAAGTCAGATTGATCCCACTCAAATAACAACTAGATGTTAATTGAATTGAAATGTGCAATACAATGTTTCACCTTCAAGAGGCGCTAGTCCTCATGCTTGCACTCAAGGAAGCCGGAAAGTCGGATTGATCCCACTCAATTTGTGCCAATTCCGACCACAAAGTAATCCAGGCGAATGCAAACAACAAAGACGGCAGATTCCGATACATTTATTTTTTTTTTGTTCTGGTTCATGACAACACACTGTGACCTCCAGAAAACCACCTTCATAATTTCAAGCACATGAGAGAATATGTCCCAAAATTGTAAAAAACAAAAGTCATATCATGCACAAATATATTAAACAAAGACCATTCCACAATAGAATATCAAAAACTCTTGTTTTTCAAATTGGATTTTTTGAGTATTTCCTGCATGGTCTGAACTTATTTGAGTTTGAATTCAAAACATTTTATTGTCTTAACTTTCTTCGGGCTTCAGAAGTATCTCCATCTAGATAAGAGATTATTTCCAGTCAAGTAAGTCTTCCTTAATGAGTCCTATTCTGAATGAATGTTTTAAGTCTTCTTAATGGGATTTTAATGATCTTTCCACAGACACTGACAGCAAGTGGAAGTCAGAGTAACTTTTTCACCTCTGATGCAGTCAAGATCAAAACTCTTTTGGGCCAGAAAGATAAGAAGCTGTCCGGAAGTGTTGGGTTCATTCCCCACTGTATAGGAGCAGCTTGATAACAACAGCCTCAAGGCTTGCTAGCCAGGCGCAAAAGAATGTTTCCAACGTGAACCTGTGTGCTCTCGTACGCCCCCTTCAGTGTGGCTGCCACAGCCACATTAAAACAAGCCTGCCAACCATTTTGAGGAGGCGGAATTCTGTCTGCCTCCCCTCTCACTTTATCTTCAGTTTAATGCACACACAGCAAGACTAAACGTACAGCAAAAATGTATAACAAAATCTATAAAACATATATATTAAACACATTATCTGGACAATGGAGAACCAGAATGCATATTACAAATCCCTGAAGACAAATTGGAGACGTGACGAGAGACAGAACAGTCTCTTAACTCTATTGTTGTAGTGCAGTAGTGTTACCAGTAGAAGGTGCTGTTGCACGATGCCATTTTTGCATTTCGTGGGTAATTGCGTCATGCATTAATTGTGTAAAAGGTGTATTTTGGTTGCTTGATGGGTGATGAAATGAAATAATGGAATGTGATCTCTATGTACACTTAAAATGCCAACACACCCTTCAAAATAAATGCATGCTAAGTTGCTTGCTCTAAAGTTACTCACAAATCTTCATTGTTTCCCTCCCTCTTTTTCTCTCATTTTTCAGCCGTGTCAAACTTGGATATCGAGAGCAAGCTGTCAGTTCACTACCAGGCCCCATGGCACCAACAACACAACGTGTTCCATCCGTGCACCCGACCACCGTGTCTGGAGGAACTGCACAAAAACGCTCAGTTCAGCCTCCGAGCCCTGCACAGAGGTGACGACTATTGTGGCCCAGAATTCCGTTGTGTCCTTTTGGATGCATATATTCATGCCAAAGTGTTTACAAATTTCAGACGAAAAACAGAACGAGCGGCCCACGAGTCGGGAGAGGAACAGGGTGACTATCTCCATCTCAACGGTCCCCGCTATACCCACCTTCCCCTCACCACATTCCATCAGACGGCAACAGAGAAGTCGGCTGGCGCGAGCGGTAAGCAGGACGCGGTCGCAATGAGAGCATGAGCGGGAACGGGCAGGTTATTGTTCACCCGGTAAACCTGCTCACCTACACTGAACCCTGCTGGATTTTTCGGCCATTGTGTTTTTATGTACTGTGTGGAGAATGACAAGTCAGAATTTCAAGTTGCATGCCTTCAGTGTAGTTCCAACATTGTGCCACTAATGTCAGGCAGGGCTGAGGTCTACTGGATGGAGATGTTACATAATTTAGAGCAAGAACAAGAGGCTGGCATAATAACCACTGTACGTGCCGGGGACAGTTGTTGTTCCCTCAGAACAGAAAGAAAACAGTATGTGGATGTTTGTATGTGGTGATGCGCCGCGTGTGTTAAAATAATAGTTGTTTGACCGTTTTAACAAGTACTGTAAAATCGACGCTAATTTCTGTTGCCTGGCAACCGGTGGTGCTGCAATTATCAGTGATGGCATTGCAATATTGAGGACACAACAGCTTATTGAATGCACGTGAGCTTTTGGAAAAAGATGCAAGATGCAAAATGTTTAATGTTGAATATTGCGATATCAGCGTTGCGATTTTTAATATTTAATATGTAACTCAAGAAATGACACGTTTTATATATAATGAAAGAATCAACATTTTTTCATTCGGCAAAATCAACGGGCTAAATGTATTCATAGCCTATAACTGTAATAATTTAAAATTCTAAAATTATATATGGAGGGACGACTGGTTAGCACGTCTGCCTCACAGTGCAGAGGTCGTGGGTTTGATTCCAACGCCGGCCTTCCTGTGTGGAGTGTGCATGTTCTCCCCGTGCCTGCGTGGGTTTTCTCCGGGTACTCCGATTTCCTCCCTCATTCCATAAACATCCATGGCAGGTTAATGGAACACTCTAAATTGTCCTCTAAGACAGAAATGTTGTAAACACGGGGGATGAACAGACACAAAAGTCAGTCGACAAACAAGAAAGGAAACATGCATGGTCATGATGACAACAGGTCAGATTTTGGTTTTAAATGCTGTACTACTTTCTGACTATAATCTTATTGTGGTCTTGCCATGCAGCAAGAAAGAGAAGAGCGAGAGCGAGAGTTAGACTATCAACCCAGGAAGGTAAAAAATAAATAAATAAATATAAAATTCACCTAACCGGGGGTCACCAACATGTTGCCCACAGGCATGTTCTAAAAAAATTGCTTACCAGTGAAGCGATCATTTGACAATCTGAATATTTGCTGAGATTTACAGAAACAATGTGTTCCATATCAACATTTATCTGTTTCCTAGGATACTTTTCCATCTAAATTCATATCATTCCTACCATATCATATTGACAATTATTGTGAGAAATCATGAACATGATCAATGTCTCCACATATGTACCGGTAAATAAAATGATTACCCCGATAAGTCAAGGTAATTAAAGACCATTTTGATATTTCAAAAGTGTGTACAAAACTGGTAGGCCTTTAACATTAATCAGTCCCCAAGAAGTGGCTCTCACTTTGAAAAATGTTGGTGACCGCTGGTTGACACCATCCCGCCGTGCACTGTAAAAGCTGTCCTCGCATCTCATATTCACTTCCATTGTAACCATGTATCGTGATTGTATTGGGAAATGTAACTCATTAAAGACGTTCATCATATCTCCGCCTCTTTTCCGTGACACTAACTCCCGCTGTTATTTCCGTTTCGCTTCTTCAAGGAGAGGACGGTGAGAGAAACGGAAATCCAAACCGTTCCGAGAAAAGTAAGAACGAGACGCGAGAACAGATCTCGAAATGATATGCGAAGTCTCGCCTCAGTCGATGTGGCGAGTTTGTGCACGTGATGTTGACTGTTATTATTGTGTTCTATGCCTCCGTAGGAGAGACCAGGGCGAGAAGCGGATAGTCACACCATACAAAGAAAGGTAACTTCAAAAACGTTAACGATGAGACATGGTTATTCTCTGAAGGATAAGATAAAAAAAAAAATCGAAATGAGTATTTTTGTAATAATAAAGGACAATAGAAAATAGGACACATAAGGACCTTGTACTGTGATTTAAGAAACCTCTCAGGAATTCATCCTTTTCTTTTTATTATTCTTCATGACATCTTTTTGTCTTTTCTTTTGTTGCACCATTTATTCATAGTTTGAGTGCTTTTACTCACTTCATCCTATTGAGGGATGCATCTTCATTCCCTGGAATAGAAAGGTATTGGATCTGTGTTGTGTGTTCAACTTGTGTGTGTCCCATCTTCACATTTGTTCTGCTAGTTTCTTCGGTCTGATTCATTTATAGTAGAAACGATTCCAGAATTGGAGGATCAACAATGGCTATTTTTCTTGAGTTATACAACTGCAAGGATGCCTACTTTCTTATTTTAATACTGCTTGTTGTGGTTGACTTTCACTTGAAGGCTACCTCAACAGGCGAGGGAGACGATGATGAGGTGTTAACAGGTCACAAAACAAAGACCTCAGCACCTGCTGTCCCCGCCACCCCGGACAAAGAGACCAAATGGTCGAAGGAAAACGTGTCCCACTCTGATCAGAAGACAACTTCGGATGATTCTCTTGCCGTCTCCTCCTGTATCATCCCGATTAACGTCACAGGTAAAATACAAAAAGGTCACCTTTGATTTGTTTTCATCCTATTTGACAACTATAAAAAAAAATACCCGCAATCCCCCAGGTGAGTCTTTCATTCTGAAATCTGATTACTTTTCCTCTCGTGACCCGTAGTAGTCGAAAATGAATGCCACTTTTTTTCAGGAGTTGGATTTGATCGAGAAGCTAGTGCACGTTGCTCCCTTGTCCATTCCCAGTCGGTTCTTCAGAGAAGAAGAAAGCTGAGGAGGAGGAAGACCATCACTGGAATACCCAAACGAGTACAACAAGACATGGGTATGTTGGGTATCATTGTTATTTAGTTCTGCCTTATTTTTATAGATTTATGGATGGCTCAGATCTGGGGGAGGATCATTTTATTATACTTATCCAGTGCTTCTTGGTACAATCATGAGGTCCCACACAGGAATCATATAACTTAAAGGGGACATATTATGTAAAACTGACTTATTATTTGCTAATATCTGAGTATTTGGGGCTCTGCAGTGTCTGCCTGACCATTAAATTTTGGTCTGGGTGTGTTTTTCTGTTTGCGGTTCTGTACACTGCGTGCGCCACATGCACCGATCTGCACACAAGACAAGTGATTTAGATTATTGCATTTGGGTGGATTGCTAATGACGTGCCAGCTCTAATTCAGGGGGTCGACAGCTCTGCGCTCATGTGGCACACCCACCAGTAGATGGGGAGTGGCACAGCATTTTTTTCTCATTTGCATGAGAAAGACTCCAACCCATCCCTCCAAAAAGGGTGGAGTTCAGCAGGGATCTTAAAATGTTTTATTCTTATGTATATATGAACGTGGGTTTGTGTGTGTGTGTGTGTGTGTGTGTGTGTGTGTGTGTAGCAAATGGACTTGATACATTCAAGGTGAATGAATAATTTGGGGCTTAATTGTACACACACACACACACACACACACACACACACATAAAGGCCTATTTATTATTGTATTTGGAAATGGTAGTACGAGGTGGTAAAAGAATGGTCCTCCAGATTAGGTTTACTGAAAGGCATTTTCTAATCTTGTGTTGCTTCAGTTACACAGGGTTATCAAAACATTCGCAGAGCGCTCGAGGATTCTTTCCCGAAATTATTTTTCAAAATGATTTATTTTTAAAATGATACATAGTCTTTACATTTACCATTGGACATTGTCTTAAAAAAATACCACAGATAATATAAACATTGCCGCTAGAAGAACTGTCAAGTAGTGATCTACATTTTACCATAATATCATTTTGGTATACATTTGTAAACCGAGGACCACATGTAATAACAATTAAAATCCCAAAAGACAAAAACTGATTAATTTATATGATTAATTAATAGTTGAAAATGTCCTATTTCCTGTGATGTAACCACTACCACCCTCAAACAAAAGCAAGAAAAGGCACAAAAAGATCTGAGCTATCTCCTGGTTCATCTTTGTTTTCTTTTTTGTTTATGTATTTATTTTCATGTGCATGCAGTCTAACAAAACAATGTACAATCGTAATGTACATTGTACTATATTTCTGCATTTAAAATGAAACTTTCAAAAAACGCTATCCTGTTGCAGTATCAACAATTTTACAAGCTCAACAACGACGACAACAAAATTAACAGAGCAGTGTATGCTAAAGCGCATTATTACAGTCTTGTGGTTCACCATCTCTCCCTCATGTTTCATGATGAAAGTGACTTCAACATGACATTACTGAGACTCAGCATGCTATGTCATTTTACATTCAGACTCCGATGAATCACCGGTAGCAAGAGAGCGGACAGTAATTGTCCATGCCAATCCGCACCAACTCTCGCTGTGTCACGAAGACTTCTCAATTAGTGGTCGCCTTCACCACACTCGAGACTCTGGCTGCCAAACAGATGATTTCCTCATAGCATGTAAGTTCCTTTGAATGTTTCCTCATATCATTCCTTCCCATTTGTCCACCAGGTTGTTAAAAGAACTACCCACGAACAACACCACATTCGAATTCCTAATAAAATCTCATCTAAATATACTGTCACTGGATAATTTCATGTCAAACTTTTACTCTTGCTATATGTTGGAAAACAACCACCATCTGTTGGCCACACCAACATCAAACAACCATCCGCCATTTTAGAGTACAGTGAACCCACGCTATTCGCGGGGGGTACCAACTGCAAGTCCTGCTGCAAAAAGAGAAATACAGCAGTTCGATTTATTTATTGACTGTGGTCGGTAACAGACAAAGAATAATCAGGAAAGCATCAAAACCCCGAATCTAGCACGGACACAGTCGTGAACCCAAGTTACATCAACAACTCGATTCAGTAGTTCAATTATTTAATGCAAATAAGCCACCTTCAAATAGACTCATAGCTAGCATACGAGACTAAATAACACACTAGCACAAATTGACACAATGTCACGCAAACAAATATGCATACAAGCCCTTGACATAAACGGTGTTAGTCATGAAACTCATCTTTCAGCATGTATACACAATCATGAATGTTGACAAAGTAGACTACAATTAGTCGCTGCATTGTGAGAAAAGCAGACATACTTCCAGTTTCACGTTGTTCAGAAGGTGCATTCAGGGACCGCCAAAATAAGATGAAAAAAAAAACCACACCACATGATTAAACTAAAAAATATCACACCACAAGATGGGGCCAAAGTAACACTCGTATTGCTTTGGCCTGAACACAAAAAATTTAGCTTTTCAGTGAATGAAGTAAAAAAAAAAAAAAAAAAAAAAATCTGCAAACAGGCAAATTTGCAAGCGCCCAACCGTGAATATGCAGGGTTCACTGTAGATCGAGCACCGTGAAATCCAAATGGTAATCAAGTAATAAAGTGATGTAATGACCGTCCATCAACCCTGTGTCCCCATTGTATTCTATGCAGGTACAGCTGCTCCTTCCAGGAGGCGCATCAGAGCTCAACGAGGCCATCAGGGAATCCCAGCATCTCTTTCCCACTCAACGGGCAACATTTCTTCCCTCGGTGACCAGTCTGACTCGACATACACAAGTACCACAACCCACACTGGACGTTTGCGATCTCGTAGCCTCCCACGAGAAGGTGGACGCCTGATGGATAGTGATGAGGATGATGATGACAATTACGATGACGATGATGACGAGGATGAGGATTTGTCACCATACGAACCAGAGGATTTTATTCCGCCCGGTCCGAGTCCGAGGCTGAAGATGATGATGATGAAGGATGAAGAAGAGAGCACTGATGACCAGGCGGCTCCTGAGCCACTGCAACTTGGAAGCCTGAAACGGTTGCAACGGTCTGGGGAAAGAGATCGAGGAGAAGGGAGCCCAGAACATTGCTGGATGGAGAGAGGCCGTTCTCGCTTGCCCCGTAAAGCTGACATGGGCAGTTGCGAGATCTCTTCGAGTTCCGATACATTTAGTAGCCCAATTCACTCTGTGTCTACAACAGGAGTGCTGAGTAGCCACACAGACCACAAGGAAGACCATCAGTCCTCCAGTGGAAATTGGAGCGGTTCCAGTTCTACCTGCCCATCCCAAACCTCTGAAACCATCCCCCCGCCTTCTTCTCCACCACTTACGGGCTCGTCGCATTGTGACTCGGAGCTGTCACTCAACACTGTTCCCAATGCCATGGATGAGGGGTTTTCACTGGATCCCACGTATCATTCTGAACTGAGACCCCAAGGACCAGGCCACCGGTCAAACTCATTCACATCCTCAGCAACAGACCAGCTAGATGATGCAGGGGTCAGTACCGCCAGTGAGGGGGAATGGGCATATCCTCCAGACCAGGACCAGCTTGACCCAGAACAATATCATGACCAGACTCAAAACGTATGTCAAACCCACAGCTATAGCTCCAAACAAACTCTAGAAGACCAAACGTGTTTCAGTGAAAATACCAACAACACTGACAAAGACACTGGCTCTCCTTGCTCATCTGATACAGGGGCTTTATACACATCTGAGCAATTTGGCAAGAGTAATCAGAGACACTACATATATAATAACTATGCAGACCAGGGGACCGATTGTGTTCAATCCAACATTGTGGCAGCACATCCCATTTCCCAAGGAGTTTACTCCTCAGCCTCGTCTGACTACAAAACAGGCACTATGACGCTGGGGAGGCCCTGTCGTCCACTGAGGAAACCCAAACTAAAACCACCTCCACCTCTGCGAACGTCCTCCCTGAAAGAGGCTAATTGTAGTGTTGATGTTGGAACAGACACACAAGCAGATCAAGACCAACCAAAGATGGTTAATGAACAAGACCTGCCACTGTCTTCCACAGATATGAAGTTGGAACTGGAACTTGGGGGCATTCCAGAACCTTTAGAAACGTCTTGTCTTGTGGCAGAGCCTATGGGAACTTGGGTTATGGGACTGGGAGAAACTGTGGATATAGTGGAGCCCATGTCCTTCAGCTCAGCAGATACACACTCGTTTAAGGATGAAGGAGCTGTGCAATCTGACTATGCAGACCTTTGGCTTCACAATACAGAGATGAAGTCCAACAATTGTGAGTACAAATCCCTCTCAAACTCCAGCACGGCGACAGACACAACTGTCATGGATGGTATCAAGTCACCGGACAGCTCGTCCTCCACTGACACACAATCGCAGACTCTTTCCCAGTCTTCTGAGACGAGAGCTGCTAGTCCACCCCACCTGCCTGGAGACTTCAAACTTGGGTCACCGGAGAAGTTGGCTGGTCTGGCATCACCATCCAGTGGTTATTCAAGTCAATCAGAAACACCGACTTCTACTGTGCCCTCCACCTCAGCAGCGTTCTTTCCAGGCCCGCTGTCCCCTTCGACGGGCAAAAGAAAGCCCAAAGTGCCAGAGAGAAAGTCCTCTCTTTCATCCTCGCAACACCTTCCGAGAGACGGACCTTCTATTGCCTCCACTTACAAGAGAGACCCAGATTTCCCACCGCCACCTTCTCAGCTTGATCTTAATATTATTCACGGTGGCTATGTCAGACACACGCTCTCACACAGAACGCAACACCTGCACACACTTCACCACAGCAAACACAGAGTAGCAAACGTTATTCCCACTGGAACAAAGCTGTCGGTCCCTGAGACATTAAATAGCAACCCTCCACCGTGTGCAAACGCTGCTGCTTTGATTCCTAGCTCTCATATGTTGACCATAACTCCATCAATTTTACGTTCAGTGCAGCTTCACTCTGTCGGCAAATCTAGTAATACTGTGACCAGCTCAGGCCTGGAATCTGCCAGTGGAGCAGCAACTGTTACCAAACCCAAATGTTCGACTAGCGCCGCAACTCTAGCCCCACCCCCAATGAACACTAGGCCACTCCCTCCTCGGAGACCACCCCCCAGACCTCCATCACAGGACCACAACACCTCCCCTGATCACTCTCAGCCAACTCCCCCTGGACGTCACCCCGATGGGCCTCCTTCGTACGAAAGCCTACTACTCAGACAAGATCGGTACGGGCCCGGAACTTTCTGGTCGATGACAGCGTTCAGGACTCGTATAGACCCATTTTCAGAACTCTCTGATGACAGCTCGCCTTTGCATCGGCCAGTGCCACGTGCTCCTCACCCTTCACCAGTGGATCTACACACACATATCCGCTCACACACAGAATTTAGAGGGCTGACACATTCAGCTCACACACACCCAGAGTTTCGGATCTTGGGGGAGCGTTCTTTTTCCCAAGATGATGATGATGAGGAGGAAGATGAGGAAGAAGAAGAACCAGTAAAAGAATCACAGAGGGCCACATGTCACAGGGTGGGCATGCGAACAGATCACCCTCCCCCTCCAGCCTATGAGTTTGCCGGAGGATTCCACCTGGACTCAGGGCCCTGGACTAGTCCAGTCAAAGTGCCTGGTACCACAGTGGAGACATCGCACCCTTACCTAATCAGCGATGCCAGGAGGATAAGACAAGTGGTGCAGGATGAACAGGAAGAGACATCAGGTGCTACCAGAAGTGCCCATCACCTGCTGCCACACGACAATAAAGACGACTCCACCACTCCTGACACAGAAGACTATTTCAGTAAAGGTAAGTTCGTGTGCATTTTGACCTACATTATCAGACATAAATCATGTGTGATAGAAATGTTTTCTGTTGCAGATTCCACACCCACTGACAACTCACTTTCCCCTTTGACGGATGACGCCAAAGTTGATGATGATATCACAACATCACCCAACAAGTCCAGAACCACTGAGGATCTGTTTGCCATGATACACAGGTGCTGTAAATTTACCACGGCATACTTACCGTAGAATTCATTCGATTGAGAGCACCGGTTCATAAGCCGCACATATGACACATCCAAATTTGAAGAGTGTGCTACCCCCTGTGGCGCACCAGCCTTAACCTGACAGTCCACAACATATGCATTAGAGGTGTGTGTACCTGGACTGATGAGACAGTTGGGGAGGGTTGATTGTTCTGGGTGTGTGTTGACTTGTGGTGCTGTGGTGTAGAAGGTATTGACCTATGACCATGTCAAAGTGTCCTTGAGCATGAAACGGAACCCTTCGTTGCTCCTGATGCTGCTTCATCAGTCGGTGAATAACGGGACAGAAGTAAAGCGCCTTGAGTACCTTCAAGGTTGAGAAGCGTAACAGAAGGGAAAGCTCATTCATGTCAATACAATATTGTGTGTTTATTCTTTTATTAGTATTCGTATCATTTTTTTTGTCAGTTTGTTCATTGTAGTGTTACACGAAAAGCACATTCAGATCTTGATGCAGACAGTATTCATCCAGCTGTCTAAATCTTGGTTGTGACTTTTTCCATTCAGATCCAAGAGAAAGGTCCTGGGCCGTAAAGATTCGGGAGACTTAAATGTGAAGTCTCGTCTCTGCCCCACAGCACCAGTGAACCCTAACAGTGTCGTCACCAATGCCATTATGCCACCACCCCCTCCACTCAACACCTCAGCCACCATAGCCACTGCTTCCGGGTCACAACGTGTCCCTGTTCCAATCTATCGCAGTGCCAAGAAATCCAGTACATCCAATGAAGAGTTTAAACTCCTGTTGCTTAAGAAAGGCAGTCGATCTGATTCCAGTTACCGCATGTCAGCCACAGAAATTTTGAAGAGCCCCATAACTCCAAAGACCCACGGGGAATCCATTCCGGAAGGCCCCATTGGTCAAGCCGAAGAGACCCCCGCAGTGCACCAGGAGCCGCCACTCTCCAACTTGGACCCAATCCAGATACCAGGTCTCTTTCCCAGGGCCAACTCTGAGAGCTTCACCCCCAAAATCCTGCCTATGACCGCTGCATCTCGACAGGGACGTTCTCGGGTCCCACCAGTAGCCAACAGTAGTCGCTATAGTACTCGTAGCCGCCTCTACACTGCTCCCATGCAAGCCATTTCTGAAGGGGAAACAGAGAATTCAGATGGAAGTCCCCATGACGACAGATCTTCGTAGAATTTGTTGACATATATACTCTTTTTGGAAATGGCCCCCTTACTACTTTTATAATATTGGTTGCGTCCTGATGCCTTTCGTCGAACGCACGCCAAAATCGGACTGTTGCGAAAATGTATTAGGAACTGTTGGGTTTCAGATGTTGTGAGGAACACAATGACAAAGTGTCATCTACAAAAAAAAAAAAAAAAAAGTTTACCTTCAAACCACATGAAAAGGATAGCTCCTTGGTAGATAAAATATCTATTTTGATTGAACTGTCTTTTATATACGTTAAAAAAAAGGAAATTAAGTTGCAAAAGAAAGAAAAGACATGACATTTTGTGAAAGAACTGCATGTACAAGCACATGCAATATTCACTGCTATTTGTACTTCCTGTCTTGTTTGGTGTGGGTGTGTGTGCTGTCGAGGAACTGCTTTCTTTTGAAATTAAAAATTCATTTAAAAAAAAAATATATATATATAATACTCTTCCAACTGTTGGTGCCCAAGCAGTAACCAGACTTTGCATTGAAGCGCATTATAAATATTCCTGCCGACAAGCAAGGTTTATCTTGTGCGTAGGTTACAAAACGGTCCCAACACAACACCAAGTTGTTTTTTCCGTCGGCAGACTTGGGATCAGGAGCATAGCATAAAAGACGACCACATGGTTCTTTACAGAAACCATATCGTAAAATTTAATATGATGCATGTATTTTTGTAAAACGTCTCCAAACATGATGCTAAAGTTTCATCGTGTTGCATGACCCAAATGGAAACATCCCCCTAGATTCTCAACTGTCTGAACATTTTGTGGTTCCTTCGTATCATACGGAAAACGATCCTGTGAAAAGTTTTAGCGACTGATTGATTTATAACATACTTCCATTGATCCAAATTAATGTTTCGTTTTTTTTTCTGGGATTTTAAGTAGTAGACGGGGTCCATTTGTGGAAGACTTTGGGACAATCGCAGTGGCCTTTCTTTGCTGGATTTGCTTGTGTTCAGTGTGATTGACTCTACATGGACCCTGGCCAGAAATATATTTTAAATGAACCTTCAAACCATGTCATGCTATTGTAACTGAAAGTAGAAAATTAGCATTTGGAGGCGGTTTTAAAGGCACCATTCAGTTCAAATGGTGAAAAATACTTTAGAGGGTCCTAAATCGGGTTGTCCAGAGAGTCATTTGCAAAGCTTTCCAATAACCGACCTCTCTTTTGCACTTGATGATTCTTCAAAAATATTCAAAAGAAGTTATATCTTATAATGAAATTCCATATGTATATTTGTATTGAATATAAAGTCATATCTATATAAAACAATGAGAAGACCTTTTTAACAAGAGTGTAGCAAAGAAGAACAGGTCTCACTGACATGACATACAAATCTTAACAATGAACACTGTTCTCTCCTAGTTGCCTATCCTTCATTTGCACTGACCCAGTAGCACCAGACAGGTGAGAGCTCAATGCGCCATTTTATCTAACTTGACAAATATTATTCATGTTGAACACGCTCCCCAAGATTTAAACTCAATTCATTCATGGATGTATCCTTTGGACACCATTTACATACCAAGGTTACCTTCCTTTTAAATTATACTGGAGCAGTACATTTAGAATCAACTAGAGCAGTGATTGTCAAACGTTTTACATCAAGAGCCACCTAAAAAAATTACTTAGCCCCCTCAAGTACCATCGTCATGACCAACATTAACCCTTCCGTGCATCCTGTAACCTGATAACATGATAAGCTGTCCATTATAGTAACCGTCCCTGAAAGTGTTCAAATATACTAGTTGGCCCAAGTGTTCATTATCAAGTATCAAAGTATTGCACATGGGGCTCTAAACTGTATTATTTTGATATTTTGGGGTAAAACGTGTTGCATGACCCAAATGGAAACATCCCCCTAGATTCTCAACTGTCTGAACATTTTGTGGTTCCTTCGTATCATACGGAAAACGATCCTGTGAAAAGTTTTAGCGACTGATTGATTTATAACATACTTCCATTGATCCAAATTAATGTTTCGTTTTTTTTTCTGGGATTTTAAGTAGTAGACGGGGTCCATTTGTGGAAGACTTTGGGACAATCGCAGTGGCCTTTCTTTGCTGGATTTGCTTGTGTTCAGTGTGATTGACTCTACATGGACCCTGGCCAGAAATATATTTTAAATGAACCTTCAAACCATGTCATGCTATTGTAACTGAAAGTAGAAAATTAGCATTTGGAGGCGGTTTTAAAGGCACCATTCAGTTCAAATGGTGAAAAATACTTTAGAGGGTCCTAAATCGGGTTGTCCAGAGAGTCATTTGCAAAGCTTTCCAATAACCGACCTCTCTTTTGCACTTGATGATTCTTCAAAAATATTCAAAAGAAGTTATATCTTATAATGAAATTCCATATGTATATTTGTATTGAATATAAAGTCATATCTATATAAAACAATGAGAAGACCTTTTTAACAAGAGTGTAGCAAAGAAGAACAGGTCTCACTGACATGACATACAAATCTTAACAATGAACACTGTTCTCTCCTAGTTGCCTATCCTTCATTTGCACTGACCCAGTAGCACCAGACAGGTGAGAGCTCAATGCGCCATTTTATCTAACTTGACAAATATTATTCATGTTGAACACGCTCCCCAAGATTTAAACTCAATTCATTCATGGATGTATCCTTTGGACACCATTTACATACCAAGGTTACCTTCCTTTTCCAATTATACTGGAGCAGTACATTTAGAATCAACTAGAGCAGTGATTGTCAAACGTTTTACATCAAGAGCCACCTAAAAAAATTACTTAGCCCCCTCAAGTACCATCGTCATGACCAACATTAACCCTTCCGTGCATCCTGTAACCTGATAACATGATAAGCTGTCCATTATAGTAACCGTCCCTGAAAGTGTTCAAATATACTAGTTGGCCCAAGTGTTCATTATCAAGTATCAAAGTATTGCACATGGGGCTCTAAACTGTATTATTTTGATATTTTGGGGTAAAAAAAAAAAAAAAGCATTTACATCTCAATCTATTTTGTTTTTAAACAATGTCGAGCATTTGGTCCACTGGTAATTGTTAAAAAGAATTTTTTTTCCCCTCAACAAAATTAAAATGTGCATTTACAACAGTAAAAGTACTTCCCTTTCTCAGAATGAGTAGCAAATTTTATGCCCTCCTTCGCTTCCTGAAGTAACGCCAGAATAGAAACGAGCTGATGTTAGCAGTGCTCATCAGCCATCTTATCTGCCTCATAACCGAGTCTTGAAAATGTATTCAGCAAACGTAGACGTGCTAATTTCCGTGGCTGGTTGCAAAATTTAAGGGATGGGTGGCTCTCCCCTTAATATGAAATCATATTGGAAGTATTGTCTCCTCCAGCAGCCACTTTTCAAACGAATGTTGTGCATGTCCCTCCTCTCCCATGCGGTGGTACCTGAAAATTTCCCCAAACTGACACATTTTTGTCAAGGAGAAAGGTCATCGGGCTCATGCACTGACTGCTCGCTCCAACAATGAGAGGGCGAGGGGTCGTGTCGTTTTGCCTGCAGTGATGTGGTTTTGAAAATGTGACATTTTAAAACCTTGGTATACCTTGAAACCGGTAATTGGGCCATGCCTCTTGTGAACCATTGTTACATTATGCACAATTTGCACATTTACACTGCACTTAAATATAGAACATAAAAAAATACTTGTTGGTTCAATTCAAATGCATTGCACATAAAAGCAGACCTAAAAAAAAAAATAAAGAAACAATTGCTAAAAATCAAATGAATTCAACTTCATAGTGAAATACAACTTAAGTGGACTTGGGAAGTGATTCTTTCTCGCACCACTAGAGGGCGACAAGAGAGCGACAAGAGGAAAAGGTCCATCGATTAACAGCTTGAACTCTCACCTGCCTATCACAGCAAACGTTACTCACATTCAGAGACCGCACTTCAATCGAAACCATTCACTGTATTCTGTGAATACCTCGCCAAACATATTGTTGTTTTACTGTAAATGCTGGATAGATAGATAGATAGATAGATAGATAGATAGATAGATAGATAGATAGATAGATAGATAGATAGCGTAGCAGACCAACACATACTCAGCGAACCTGAACTACAGAAGTGACACTGTGTAACTTGGAGTGAGTAAAAAGCTGTGAATTGCGCAAATTTTACATTCATGACACCCACATGGCTTCATGGCACTTGTTCTTGACCATTGTTTTATTTGTTGTGTTTTCTATCACATGCAATAAGACACAAATGAAAAAAGAAAAAAAAAAAAAAACGACTCCACCATATGTGTATTTTTTATCTGAGGGATGTCTCCAAATGAGAAAAGAATTTGTATTTTCTGTTCTAATGTCAAGTTCAATAGTGTGCTCAATAGATGTACAAACTGTCTGGCTAATTCTGTTCTGTATAGTTGTGATCACAACAGGGGTTTATCTTGTACTGTATATCTTACTCACTGGACAATCATATGTTTTAAGAGACTGAAAAGAAAATTCTATAGAGAAATCAGAACACTTGTGGTGCTGGGTCCTAGTCAAGTTGGTCTGGGAGATATTTTTACTTTCAATTGGAAAAGGACAGTTCGAAAAATATAAGAGTGAGAGTAAAAGGCTCAAAAGTGACTTGTAAAATAGTCGTTCTACTTTTGTTATTCTTAAAACTTGAATTCCCATTTAATATTGTAGACAATGGATGTGAATGGGTTATCTCTCTGCCACTTGAAGAATGCAATGTGAAGATTCTATTTTAAAACTTGGAAAAAAAACAAACAAAACAACACGGAAAGCGTTGAAGATTTGTCAGGTATGTTCGTTTTTCTGTTCATTTATCCCGACGAATTTGTATTATTTCTCAATTCAGTGGGTACATGACACTATTGGCCCAGTAAAACAAGAAAGTGGGGTTACCATTCAAAATCAATGTAAACTCTTATTTATAAAACGAAAAAGCCTCATTTTATTTGGGAAAGCAGCAAAAACAAGATTCTTAAATTCATGACTAATTTGTTTCAAGTGTGTTAATGTTTGCATTCAATTTTGCTGTAATGAGCTGTGACAGACACTGGACATTTTTTTCAAAGGTGTACAGTATGGAATAGCACTAAACAGAGTTTAAACATTTCAAATATATGTGAGATAACACGCAAGTGTAACTGTCTATTTAAAAGAAGCTCCAAGTTTAAAGGACATAACAGATTTGAATCGTTTTTGTATTTTTGTATAAACTTGTAAATACATTTTTAAAAGAAAACAATGTTGAAATTCTTTCTTTTGTAAAATAACCAAATAAAAGAATGAAAGCAAACAATGTGTTCTCATTCATTCCAATCGATTGTTGTTGTTGTTTGTTTTTTTTAGAACAGTAATGGGCTAGATGAAGAAAGTGAACACAAATAAAGATGAAAGAAGAAATACAAAAAGAGAAGAGAATAGCGATCCCTGCCATTTATACTGTATACAAAGTGCCCACAAAGTCTCTTTACACATGTCAAAGGTCTGGGGTTCGATATCTGAAAATAAACTACTCAAGTACAATTATTCAGTATTTGTGCTTCATTTTCATCCGATCATTGTTAAATTCTAAGATTAAAAACCCTGAATCACAAGTGCACCAAAATAATATCAACACTAGATGGAAGCATAAACCCACTGTATAATATACCCCGACAGCGGTACAAAACCACACCGCCGATAATGTTTTCACGGTTGCACTAGTACAAATTCTACTGCCAGTGATGGGAAGTAACGAGATACAAATACTGCACTTAGGTAAAGTCCTCGTGTATCTGTACTCCAATTGAGTGTGTGTTTTTTTTCTGAGGATTTACGCTCAATTGACTTCATTTGAAAACAGAGACTTGGAGTTAGGACTCCTTTCTCAAAATGGGCTCCGTAATTGGTCTCAACCTTTCGCAGGTGACGACACGACATTCACAGAGAGACGTAACGTCAACTGCAGTTTGAGATTTTGATTGATTGAATGAGATGTTTGAGGTTGAAAAATAAATCGTTTTTCACCAGTGTCACGCCTCCCTAGCAGCAACGCCAATTTGTGTCTCTGGCGTTGGGAGGCACAACCAGACCAAAAATGAAAGAAAGTCACCAATTTATTTTGTGAAGTGTATTTGAAACGTTTGTTTTCAAGCCACTCCCTCGCCACTGTGCAGCCGGGCGTGTTATTTGGTACCTGGTCTTTAATTGGTGACTTCATCATGCTACAGTTAGAGAAGCTATCAATTCATAGGGGGGGAACAGCATGGGGAGCTCTTCACAACTAATATTTCTCCGATAACATGACAAGAATCACAAAAAGGTTAAAATATAAATGCAACTGTAGTACTCACGCAAATGATTACATGTGTAGACTGCGACAGCCGTGTTTAGCTCTGCAAACTTGACTTGCTCTGACCGACCAGAGGCAGGGCGACTTGCTGTGATCGTTTGCTATGTGATTGGCTCCCAAAACAATGAAGGTCCTTCATGTTCCATGGCCCAGCACGACTGATTTTGAAGGCCATGGACAGATTACATTGACAGAGCAACACGGAGGCTGAAATGTGATTGGACATCAACGATAATAGCCACTTGCACGAACTGGAGGCAGTGCGGCAAAGAGAAACACTTAAAAACAAATAAGGAGAATAGACTGTTGGGAATAAATGAATACAATCTTGGGGAACAAGTACTTAAATTTAGGTTATAAATTTACAATGCTCAGAGTATGATGGATTGGGAGGATTACATTGTGGCCGTAACAGGTGAAAAAGAATCCCACAAGGTCAATGTATTCTTTCCAAGTATTGTATCCTGCACCTGAATTTTGTCTAAGCTACTACTAAAAATGCATGACTCATAAAGTGACTGGGAAACAAATAGCTGATACTTTTGCATTTGACAGGCTGAAAATGTTGTTTCAGAGGTGTATTCATTCAAATATTGAAGAGGATGTTTTTCCTCAACTCTAATGTCAACTACTGCAATATGATATTTGGAACAAGGCTTAATTAAGCAAGGTATCAATTATTTGTATCCCTCATGCACCCCCACAGCCAGAACACACAATCCCCACCACGCAGCAGCACTCTTTGATGTTTCGGTGTAAGAATTCATGATTGACGAAGTAGGCGTGTAGTAGCCAATTTTTCGGTGGGGTGGCGGGGGCCCTAAGGGGGAACAAGAAAATGAATGGGGGAAATTCTGCATCATAATTTACTTATTCAAAGTATTTTTTGTCAAGTCGTGATGAATAAACGGTGATTGTTTTTCTTCAATCTTTTGAACTTTACAAACGGTAGTCAGCAATTTTAGAGAACAAATGACTGGATTTTTCCCCCAACAAAAGGTGCCACAATGAATGTACATTTGCCAAAAAACATTATATCTAGATTTTTTTGTGCTTGTGTGTGTGTGTGTGTGTGTGTGTGTGTGTGTGTGTGTGTGTGTGTGCGCGCGCACGCCATCTTGCTGACAAGGAACTTTTGAAGTGAGTTGAGAGGCCTGTTTTAGACAAAAGTAGCGCCCGGCCACCATTTTGAGGCACCTGTGGGCAATTTCAGTCCTGTATTGGTGGCAGAGCTCTGTTGCAATCCGTAAAAAAAAAAGTTTGGGGGCACAGTGATGTTCTTGGCCTCAGGTCACAAGAACTAAAATAATGTCAAGTGCAAATTTTTAATTGTGTGAATGCATATCAAACATACATACGCATTTTTTGAGCGGAGCGTAAAAAGTTTATATGTACACACAAGATGCTGCAGGGCATTAAATGACAAGGCATTTCATATTTACATACAGTAGTTGGGTTATATGGTCGCTCCTCTATGATGTAGAATAAACACGAACAACACTGTAAAAGATCCTCTAAGAAGCTACTAAAACCTGAGTTTCACGTTAAAGCCAGAATGGTTTCAAGTATGAACTGGTTACCACAATGGAGAGCAACAGTGTGGAACGGGGGGCGACGGAAAACACTTTGAAAGGTTTTCTGAAGCCGAAAAAGCAAAACGGCTAACGGCAAATCAGTACCTAATTAGTCTGGCACCAGAAGTAATGGTGTCGTTTTCGACAGGAAAATGCAAACGCTTACACTTGATGGGCTTTTCTCGCAGCATAAGATCGGTCGCAACACGACTGTTCTTGTTGCCATAGAAGAGGTTTCACCTTTCATCCAAGCAGGCTTCATTCATCACTTTGTACACAAAGGCTATTAAAAAAATAGCAGCTCCTGATTGGGTGTTTGTGTGCAAAACCAAATATTTGTCGTTGGTTTGACTCTTTTAAGATGTAAGAGTGAAGCTGCCCCATTTAAGTCTTTTAAGATAGCTTGGAGAGGCCTCTGCTTAACAACAGCCGCCGTTTGGGTGGAATAGGAGCGTCTCAGCCAAAAAAAAAAAATTACCGCCACGAAGACTCCAAACAACACAAATACATCTTATGTTTTGTTAAATTATGTCAACCTAAATTGCAACAGGATTTTGACAAAAGCCCAATTGAATTTAGCACGCAAAATATCCTCTCAAACACATTTTTGACTTATCTGGAAGATGGATTTCCACACCATCTGTTAGGCGAGAGCTTTACTATCTAGCCAATGTGCATGAACTGATGAAGCCTGCTCAGATGATACGCAAAACACCTTCTAAGATCACCAGAACAGACCGGTTGCAACCAAAGTAATGCCTTGAGAATCCAATAACCTGGATGAATGAGAATATCCAAAGGCTTGATACACTTTATTACACAACAAAACGAGTAAGAAACTTTTGGCATAATTGAACAAACCTCCCTTTGTGCCAGGAACACTTTTTGCACAGCAGTTTGGCAGTGCATTACCTTGCCTTTATTTCAATGTCAATACTTGCAAGGTTCCAGTCATCATGTTTCAGGGGCGTGCAACTGATAATACGAAGGTCAAACTCAAGGTAAAAGCGTTGAGCTCATGGAACAGAGACAAGTAACACATTTTCTGCAACTACAGCAGGAGTGCAAGATCTTCCGCAAAAATGATGGATTCAATATTTTGCAATGTTGGTCGGTAATTTGAAACAACCCCACTCCCCCCTTGACATTCGGGTATTTCCGCCTCACGTCTCACACACACATGACTAGGGCGGTACCTTTATTTGACGACTTATGACATTCGAAGAAGCAATCAGTCTGAAATGTTATTGCATTGGTAAGCGAACACCACAGTGGTGTGCTCGCTGTCAGTGTAAAAATGGTGAAACAGCAAAAGCTACAGTGTTTATCTGAGGTTGTGTGCGCTTCAAAGTAATTAAAGTAATTAAATAATGGCCTGTTGTTGTTCACGCTAAGGCAAAAAAGACTAATACAAAAACATGCCTCTGCTCGGATATTGGGTACTACTTACACTTCGGCTAAGGATCAAAAAAACGTACTGCTTTAATGTAAAGTAAATGTTTGGTAACATAAAATAAAAAAAACTTGAGGTCATGAACAAACTTCCTCCTCTGAAACCAATAATACCATAGACCAAAAAGTTGATCTCAAACTTGCATTTCTGATGATTTATCAGTTCAAACGGAATCTTTTTTCGTCAGCACTCCAAAGTCCCAAATTTCGAAACTGTGCAGGGGTGTCCAAACTTTTTCCTCTGATGATAGGAGGAAAAAAAACCAAACAACAAAAACAAGGATTCTAGGGTCACTTTGAATTATCTCCAAACACGAGAAATTCTGTTCTCCATTTTGCTTCTACATCCAACCTTGAGATACGAACACGCTTGAGACTAAAATAATTTTTCCCCGTTGAAATGAATGGATATGCTTTTAATCCGTACCAGCCTCCCGAAAAGCCGACCATTTTTTTTTTTGTAAAGTGTTTTTGGTATGAAAAACACTGATACACAATATTATAAAAACAAACAGTTAAGACATTATTCAAAAGCATCGAAAGAAGTTAACATGCTTCATGGGAAACTGCTAAACCCGTGGGCAGAGGATAAGAAATATATGCCGGTGGAGTATTGTCATATTATCTATCGAGATGCTTGTGTTCAAATGCCTTTTGCCTTTGGGTGTCCAACACTGTAACGTTTTTGTCAGTTTGTGAGCATTTAGCTACACGCACTTAACTACGGCACAGCTTTGTGGTTGTTTGAAATAAAACGCCACATTTAATTTGATGGTAAGCCTCAACTGGGAGTGGCATTCAACAGCTTGAAGCCACTTTTTTGGGAAGAATTGCTTGTTATCTACCAAACCGCTGCTCGTTGTGGAGTTGAGTTCACTGCCACCATACAGCAGTCACATCTCAAATTTTTGCCGACAGGCCAAAGCAAAAAAAAAAAAAAAAAAAAACCCAAATAAACCAAAATAATCATAATGATGTCAAATGATGACAAGTCAGAGCAAAAAAATTAAAAAAAACAAAACAAAAAATAATGATGGCTCATATCTCCCAAAATCTCGCAAGATGGGTTACAGGGCATCACTGTAGCAATACAACAAAGAGCAGCAATCTTGGTGGATTTTTCTAAGAAACGAGAAAAGAGTTTCTTTCATTCACGAGAAAACAATTGCTGGCTGAAATACATGACTTATTCTACTACCGACATTGCTCTTCGCAAGAATAATGTTTGATTGGCGCGATTTAAATCAAGTTTTTTAGGGCACCGTGTTCTCCAAAAGGGCCATTTTCCTACGCAAAAAGCTCAATTTCTTCAGATTTCTGGCTGCATTGTGCTCAGGTTGAAGCGGCTTTTGCAAGCGCTTACTTTTGACAGATTTTCATTTTTTTTTTGGAAATGCCGCCACGTTGCGTATCACTTTCCTTGTGTCTTGACATAAGACGTATTTGTTGTTAGTGATGTCGCAACCCGCCACTTTCCATGCTGCCCCTCTACCCTTTCGGTTATTTTTAGCATGTTGTGCAGGCCTCTAGAAAATGGACGGCAGGCCGCAAATTTCCCCCTGGTTATAGTTTGGACCCCCCTGCATTGTCAGTTCACGTATTTGTCTTAATCATCAAATTCAAAGTTCAAAATACAAAGGTGTAAGTTGGTGATTGACAATAGCCTGCAGACTTCTAAAACTCCCCAAAATGTACATACATTATGTACAGTCCATAAAACAGCGCACAGACAGGTGTTCTGATGGTTTCCGTCAGTGCTTCCCCTCCTGGATGCATACTCGTGTTTTTGCCAGGGAGAAGAGAACATATCGGTCCTTTCATTGTTTGGTCTGTTTCAGCTTCTCGATGTGATGACAAAGTTTGAGCGCGGGGCCCAGCTTGAGTCCCATGTACTTCATAATGACGTCGCTGCGCAGCAGCATCAGGGCCTTGCCATCAATTTCCTGCAGGGAGAGCAACACGCATGTTAGCAGGCAGCCGGATGACAAGCGCTTCAACCCCAGGCTCCAAACAACGATGATCGAAAAGGCAGTGCTGGCTATACATTCCAGACTGCATGGATTTGAGCAAAGAAAGTGGCCGTCTTGAGGGTGGTCGGCTCCACCCCCGAGAAGCTCTGGACTCTTAAAAACTGTAATTGAACCAACACTATTTGTAGCTACTTTTAGAGGTGTGCAATGTGGACAAAATGTATCGGTGCAGGTAATTTCCTATCCTGAGAACGACAGATTTCCCAATTTAGCATTTTTACTGAGAATTTGCATGAATCATTAGTAACGTGTAATTTATAGTTACGTAATCATAATTTGAATGAAGAGTGAAGTAAAACGTGGCTGAGAGAACGTTATTCTGTGGGAATTATAGCCTCTCGTATGCGCATTAAAATGCAACGTCTCCGAGTATATATATGTTGATAAGGTTTATATGCATGCTTGGTGTGCATTATTAGTGTTAAGATTGGTTCCACTCAACACTCTCTCATGTATTCCCAAACCAACTCTGTCAAAGCTTTGACATTAGAGAAAGGAGTTTGGGGTTTTTAAAATTTATTTTGAAGTCATCACTTCATGGCAAAGAAAATGAGTACCAGACATTGTGATTTAAGGTTAAAGGGCATCATGCATAAATCTAATTTCAATGTTGCTGATACGCTGCATACATTTATGGCCTAATTCTGAAGCTAAATTTATCAGATCTTGGTTTTTTTGTAATTGACTGTTGTAAAGTTGAACAAATTCTAAAGGAATACATTCTCCTTGAGTGTTTAACTAACTTTTGTAAAAGAATCCGCATTTCTGCCTGTAATTTATATCTCTGTTTTAAGAGTTAGAGGACCAAAACAGAAGTAATTTTGTTCATTATACGGTATATTTTTTTTTAAATAATTGTCCGAATAATTGCTTATCTGAATACCAGAAACTGCATCAACCTCCAAAAAAAAAAAAAAAAATCTCTATCAGATGGCCCTCTGAATAAATGAAGCAAACAAGATGGAATCGATAGAACCGAAATACTCACGTGCTTCCTAAACAGCTCCACATGTGGACCAAGAGTGTGTGGGTCAGCCTCTTGGACAAACCGGATCACGTCATCCACTGACCAGGAAGACGCATCGTTCCCTGAACTCTCTTTGTCTTGTGTCGCGTGCTCTGGGCCTGTTGTTGAACTAGCTGCTGAGGAAAGAAGACAACGATCATGCTTGCAAAATTTCAGCAACGGGGGACACTTTCCAAGGCAATTTATGGAAATGAATGGAATCAAACCAGCAATTTGCAAAACTGAATGTTGGCTCTGAATCGGGAATTTAATGATTTAATAAGGATTTGAAATTGAAGACAATATATTTTAGTCTCACGCTGACTAAAACAATCACTTTTCATGCCACATTTCAAGTCCAGTTCAATATGAAGAGCCCATTCCCTAAAAGGATTCAGCAAAAAAGCTTCTCACAAAAATTATACGCACATACATGATGGCAGGCTTTAGTTATAGTGTTGAGGGCCCCCGCGTTGATATGATAATGATCAAAATGTGCTGTTTTCCTCACAAAATACTCCGTTTTATAACATGTTGATTCGATGACACGCCGAGGCAGATGCTGTATAACGTGTTGTTGTCAACGAGTTCCCGTTTCTCAGGAGCCATCGGACTTCATTTCTCATAGGTAGGGCCAGATGGCTCCTGTTTCCCAGGACCGGTCTCAGGACAACATAACAGAATTGCGTGAGAAAGAGTTGTTCAGCATAATAGTTTGTGAAACGCCAGTTGATAACGAAACAAGTGTGGCGCCAGAAGGGCTGAGTTGGCCACTCACCCCTTCTTTCGCACACGCTCAGAGAAGGATAAGAGGAGACTTTGCCATCCCCTTGCTAGAGTCTGCTGCGGGTTGCGTACTGACGGGACGCCCAGCTGGTATTGAAGCTCGCTCTACCAAGGGTGTTGGCTCTCCACCCTATTGGCGCACGGTAAGAGTTGATTCATTTCTTTGTAGCTTAATACCTCGCTTGCTGTGACATATTCTGTGGCGCTAATAAACGTGCAATTTGTTAGTAGCAGATTTGTCTCTTGTGATTCATTTCTGAGTGCCTATCTCCAACGATCCTATTCTAAATTTGATACTGAGCCAGGGCGAGGTATCAGAAATGTTTTAAAACACGCGTGGTCGCCATATTGGCCAAACGTGCCTTTGATTTTGAATAAATCGCCAACGGTGTCACCGGCAAAGCATCCCCATTCCACTACACTTCTTTCTCGATACTTCACTATGGGAACCGCATGTGTAGGGATCTTCCGCTCACCTTTTCTGCGTCTTACGACGACATGGCGATGGGAACCAAAAATATCTAATTTGTACTCATCAGACCAAAGGACAGATTTCCACTGGTCTAACGTCCATTGTCTGTGTTCCTTGGCCCAAGCTAATTTCTTCCTCTTGTTGGTCTTCCTTAGAAGTACTTTCTTTGCAGCAATTCGACCATAAAGTCCCGATTCACGCAGTCTTCTCTGGACGGTTGATGTTGAGATGTGTGTGCTACTTGAACTTTGTGAGGCATTTAAGTGGGCTCCAATTTGCGGTGCTGATAACTTGCGGTTTCTGAGACTGGTCACACGGATGAAGTTATCCTGTGCAACAGAGGTGACCCGAGGTCTTCCTTTCCTGGGTCGGTCTTGATGAGAGCCAGTTTCATCATAACGTTTGATGGTCTTTGTTACTGAACCTGGGGATACTTTCAAAGCTCTTGAAATGTTTCGGACTGAATGACCTTCACTTCTTAAAGCAATGATCGACTGTCGTTTTTCTTCGCTTAGTTGAGGAGTTTTTGCCATAATATAGATTCGAACAGCAGTCAAATAGGGGGCCTTTAGTGTATGCCAACTCTAACGGTTCACAACTCAAGCGAAGCTCTCAAACACAATTAAAAGGTCAAGAAATTCAAGCATTTAACTGTTGATAATGCGCAGCTGTGAACTGAAAGTCATTCCAGGTCATAAAACATCATCCGCATCATAAAGCTGACAAGAGAAAACACCATGATGTGCAAAGCTACCATCTGGGCAATAGGGTGCCTACTTTGAAGCATCTAAATCAGGGGTCGCCAACCTTTCTGAAGCCGAGAGCGACTTCTTCAGTCCTGATTATTGCGAACGACTACCGCTTTGGTACGCACATCTGACAGAATAAATGTCAAAACAATTACCCTTGTTAACTGATTCATGTTAGTCATTTAGGCAAAGATATTAATCATGTTAACAATTGCTCACCTACATCCCCGCCAGTGATCACCTTCTATACCATTCCTAGAAAATCAACACATCCCCTCACCGTTGAGCTTTTCTTCGTACGGGATCGCGGGCTACAAATGTCGTCCTTAGGGGCTACCCGGTGTCCGTGTGTAACCCACATCAAGAAAGATAAATCTTGAAAGCTAGTAAAATGCATGAGTAAGTTAAGGCAGCTCAATTCTAATATTTGGTTGAATAATTAATTAATATAGTATGATAGAAAGGTCATTTGATTGCCAATCAATACCCCGATACAAAATAGTGTACTGTCCCTTTAAGAAGGCACTTGCCGCGCCTGGCATCAGATATATATGCATGGAGCAGAGAGCAGAGGAGACTGTAAACAGAGATCTAAATCCAAACGCCCTACATGGTTGATGATTAACAAAGCACATATTTGATCAATCAATGAGCGTTTTGATAAGTTGGAAGGTTTCATACCATAACTTTGTTGTGATGCTACATGTGTGGATGTTGGCTAAATGTTACCATCGTAGCTGTGTGAAGATGATGCACACTAAGTGCACTATTTTGATCATTTGATTTATGTAGACATATTGATTTACTTTTTTTGTGACCTGTTGTGCAGGTCAGTTGTTTTTTGTTGTTGTTGTTTGGTATTTTTTTGCTTACTACTCTTCCCGTTGTAAGTTTGGCTCAAGGAGGGCTTTGCGTGTGAATGAGGGAGCTGCGCAAAATATTTGGAATTCAAGAGGGCGAGCCAGACCCGCGAACTCCGTTTCTAAGGACATACAGTACTTCCTCTTTATTGTGCTGAAGGATTCGCCGAATGAGAACAGACTCATTGGTGGACTTTCTGCCAGAGTAGTAGGGGCATTGGAACACACTAAACTCTGAAGAGAAATATTGGGACGCATTGAACTCTGAACAGAAGTGACGCATTTTAATATCGCAATTGACATTGTTGTGATTCAGACATTTTCATTCTGGGCTTTCAATGATAGAATCAAAAGAAGAGGGAAAAAAAAAACAAAGAGAAAAAAAAACAAACAAACAACCATTTGTGTGTCTTTGTGCATATTAGTAATATTTTTTTTGGTGTGCTAATGTAGAGCTGTTGCGCTATATCTTTGATCGTTATCATTATTCTCATTCAGAGTTTGTTTCGTGTACAATTCACCGAGGGCACGGGCAAAGAATAGGAATCTAGAGGGCCGAGGGAAGCACTTTAAAACAGTACGTGTAAGCTACGATAGTGAACAGGCTGCAAAAGTGTGTCGCATGCCTCTGTGTCAGGCTGTTGCTCGTCATGGCGTGTGTGTGTATTTGCGTGCGTGGTAACGGGTTGATCGCGGGAGATTGGTTGATCGAAAAGTCGATCTTCGGTCCAAAAAGTTTGGGCACCCCTGATTTAGACAATTAAAGACTAACGTAACCAAAACTATCAAAAGCAAATAACACATCTGACTAGGTAGGGTGTGTTACACAAAATAAAAGACCCCTAATTTAGAATAAAGTCGAGATGAGAGTCAGATAGAATAAAGAGGGAAAATATTGTTGCTACATTCAGGGTATTTACAAAATTGTTACCAATTCTTTTGTTTACTTCAAGTAAAATGTTCTGTGATTGAAACTCCCTGGTCTCTGGCTTAACTCTACCCCGCTTAACTCATTCACTCCCAAAGACGTATTTAGATGTCTTTTCAGACGCCACACATTTAATCCCAGCTCCTCATTTTATATTGACTGTACTTGAAAAGGGTCTGAAAGTGGCTGGCCATTTTCAGACCCTTTCAGAATTAATTAAATCCTAGAACTGACTCAGCAGCAAGATGGTAAAGTTGTACTAGAGATGAACTTGTTACACGCAGGCACCGCATTTGTGGCGCCAGCACCAAATTACAAAAAAACGTCTGTTTCTATTTTAAAGAAATTGTTACCCAATAATTGTATGAATATTTCTTCTTACTGTCGATCACACACACACACACACACACACACACACACACACACACACACACACACACACACACACACACACACAGTCTATGCCTATGTACTGAGGAAACACAGGAAAATACACGACTATTGCTGAATTCGAATAAACAATAAAGACCATGAATATTTTGAACATAAAAGACCTATGACTCCATAACTAAAATAACAAATGAAAGATTCAAATATAAGAGCCATGTAAAAGTAAATAGTCATAAAAGAGTGAAAAAAAATCTGTCGTGATTCCGTGATCCTACCTTCCACGCGTCTGTGTGTGGGCACTTGTCCGAGTTCACTTGGGTTGGAGCTGACTCTCCTTAGAGGAGGAGGCGTGTGTGAGTGTGTGGCGTAATACGGCCGTTCCCTCTTTGTCGCCCGATAGTCTACCGCTATGTGAGGGGCTCGTGCGTTAGGTCCAGATTCTTTTGATGAATCGTTGTTAGATGTACTGTTTTCCGTGTGAGGCAGTGGTTCTGAAAGGAGAAACAAAGATGACGTGAGCTGGGCTTTCCTCAAAGCAATGGACTGACTGTATGTTAGCGACTGGGGCAAGTGATCAAAAGACCAAGGAAAAAACATTCATGGCTTAAATTCATGTTTTCATCTTTCGGCAACAAACTGTATATAGCACAATGCCAGGCATCACTGCTGTCTATTGGATGCACAATAAATGCAGCATAATTAAGTGCAAGAAGAGGAACTATTTACAAACAACAACAAAAATGCTTTGCATAAGGTCACTCTACTTTTACAGATCACGGTCGGGTCTGGAATGCACCCCTCACTTTAAATTCACAATAGACATTCCCATCACAACATTGACAAACTCACAAAAGATCAGTCATGGTGGAGATTTGAAGATGTATTCAGGCAATTGTTGTATGAGTGACAGATTGTTGACACCTATCACAGTGTGCCACACAGTCTGGACTGCCTTGGCTCTCCCCAGAGTGAAAAACTATCCTTTAAAAATGTATGTGCAACGACTGACATTATTTCGGAGATGAGTACATCAAATGAGTAAATGATTTTAAAAAAAAGAAAAAAAAAAACATCCGACCAACCAATATGACTGAAAATACAAATGACTGTATTGTTATGTTGTATGTTGTTTTAAAAAGGTGCACATCTACATGTGGGCACCAGGGTGAAAATACAACAAAAAAATCAAGCCATTACCTTGCCTGAGCTTTGGTCCATTTGAAAGCTCCGATTTGACCGTGACCCGTCAAAATAAATAAATAAATGAAAACCTCACAGCCCTGTGCTAATTAACGTTTTTTTAATTATTTTATTTAGAACTAAAAGGAAATTATTATAGGAAGAAAGTCTTTGTTCCCCCAAATCTGAAGGGCTATATTTTTTGCACATAAAAGTTGCAGCTCAATAAATGTTTGGGAAACAAATTCTTAATGATTCAATCCAAAGTGACTTTAATTAAAAGTTAAACACGTTACAACTGAACTGTACACAGTGAAGATATGATTTAACTACACTCACCGGGGCACTTTATTAGGTGTACCTGTCCAACTGCTCGTTAACACTTTTTTCTAATCAGCCAATCAAATGCCGGCAACTCAGTGCATTTAGGCATGTAGACATGGTCAAGACAATCTCCAGGCAGTTCAAACCGAGCATCGGTATGGGGAAGAAAGGTGATTTGAGTGGCTTTGAACGTGGCATGGTTGTTGGTGCCAGAAGGGCTGGTCTGAGTATTTCAGAAACTGCTGATCTACTGGGATTTTCACGCACAACCATCTCTAGGGTTTACAGAGAATGGTCCGAAAAAGAAAAAATATCCAGTGAGCGGCAGTTCTGTGGGTGGAAATGCCTTGTTGATGCCAGAGGTCAGAGGAGAAT